CTTACCTAACACTTCCGGTCAGGACTTCTGGTATGTTGAATAGAAGAGGCAAGAATTAGCATCCTTCTCTTTTCTAGATATTAGAAAAAGTTTCAACTTTTCCTCATGAAGTGCTATATAAATTGGGTGTTTGTCATGTATAGTGTCCATTTGGTTGAGGTATACCCCTTCTATACCTATTTTTTTGATAATTTTCATTATAAAAATGTTGAATTATGTCAAATCCTTTTCTGCATCTGTTGAAATAATCATATGGCTTTTTTCCTTTATTCTGTTAATGGCATATATCATATTTATAGATTTGTTTGTGATGAACTATACTTGAAACCCTGGGATGAACCACATTTTATCATGGTAAATATTCTTTTCGTTGTACTGTTGAATTTGGTTTGATAGTATTTTTTTGAGGATTTTTGCATCTATGTTCATCAAAGATATAGTCCTATAATTTTGTTTCCTTACAGCATCCTTGTCTGGCCTTGGTATCAGGGTAAAACTGACATTTAAAAATGAGCTTGAAAGAATTCTCTTCCTTCCAATTTTTTGGAATAATTTGAGAATTAGCATTAGTTCTTTAAAAAATATGTGGTAGAATTCAGCAGCAGAGAAGCCATCCAGTGGTCTTTCTTTGTTGGAAGACTTCATTACTGCTTTAACTTCATTACTTGTTATTGATCTGTTCAGCAGTCTCGTTCTTTCTTATTTAATTTTGATGTATTGCATGTGTCCAGGAATTCATTCATTTTCTCTAGATTTTCAAATTTTTTGATGTATAGTTGTTCATAATAGTCTCTAAAAATCCTTTGTATTATTGTGTCATCAGTTGTAATGTCTTTTTGGTTTCTGATTTTATTTGGTTCTTGTCTTGTTTTTTAGTCTAGATAATGATTTGTCAATATTGCTTAATTTTTCAAAAAATTAACTTTACTCTGGTAAAAATCAATTTTGAAATGTCCATGTAATGTAGTACCATGCAGGTATTCAAGATAATTAGGTATATATTTTTGTGATGCTATGTTGCAACATATGTGATGCTATGTTGCAACGTTCACTGAGTGAAGAAAGGAAGTTACAGAATAACATATTCAGTATAATATCATTTGTTTACAAAAAATGAAGACAAGAAAGGAAATATTGCTTACGTATGCTTGTATATGTATTCTTTATGGAGGGATACAAAATAAATTGTTAATAATGATTTTAAAAACAAAACTGACTTTACATTTCTTATTTAGTATTTTTTAGTCTCTATTTTAATTTTGCTTATCTTTTCAAAAAACTAATTTTAATTTTGTTGATCTTTTGTATTATATATTTAATTTCAGTTTCATTTATTTCTCCTCTTATCTTTGTTATTTTTATCCTTCTAGTAGTTTTGGATTTGTTTTGTTCTTGCTTTTCTAATTCCTTGAGATACATTATTAAGATGTTTTTTAAAAGTTTTCTACATTTTTGGTGCAGAAATTTAGTGTTACAAACTTCCCTCTTATGTGCTTTTCCTATATCCCATAGGTTTTAGTATGTTGTATTTATACTTTTATTTGTTTCAAAAAGTTTAAATGGCACATTGGCTATACAGGAGCATCTTGTTTAATTTCCATGTATTTGTGATTTCTAAAGGTCTTCTTGTTATTAATTTTTAGTTTTATTCCCTTGAGGCCAGAAAAACTGCTTAACATGATTTAATTTTTGTAAACTTGTTGAGACTTTTGGCCTTACATATACTCTACCCTGGAGAATGTTTTATGTGCTGATGAGAGGAGTGTGTATTCTGCCCGAAGTAAATGAAATGTTCTGTAAATGTCTATTAGGTCCATTTGTTCTATAGAGCAGTTCAAATCTAGGGTTTCTTTGTTGATTTTCTGTCCAGATGGCCTTTCTAATAATGAGAGTGCAATGTTGAAGTTCCTTTCTATTATTATATTAGGGCCTATCTCCCCCTTTAGATCTATCAATATTTGCTTCATGTGTCTGGGTGCTTCATTGTTGGGGGCATATATATTTATAATTGTTATAGTGTCTTGATGAATTCATCCTTTTATCATTATATAATGATCTTTGTCTCTTTTTTACAGTTTCTGACTTAGACTCTATTTTATCTCATATAAATATAGCTACTTCTCTTTGATTTTGGTATACATTTGCATAGAATATCTTTTCCCATCCCTTTACTTTAAGTCTGTGTGTGACATTCCAGATGTATGTTTTTTGCAGGCAGTGTTTCTTTAGTTTGTTTGTTTTTTTTCCTGGTTGTTTTGAATATTCTTTGTTACTTTATTCCTCTTTTTGTTGTTTATTTTTGTGGTTTGGTGTGTTTCTATATTGATAAAGTTTGATTCTTTTCTTTTTCTCATTTGTGTATCTGCTATAGCAGTGAGTTTTATACCTTCAGTTGTTTTCCTTATGGTAATTATCATCCTTTTTCCCCCAGATACAAGATTTCTAGCTAGCTCAAAGGCCTTTTGAAACAAAAGACCAGAGATTCTCTCACACAAGAGTAAGAAAGTGGAGTTTATTTTAAGATTATGTATTATAAGAACTAGAAATATATTTGAGTTCTAAAGCATCTTTAAAGTCCAGTTAGTCTTTTATAGCCAAGTTGGCAGGGCTAATTTTTTCACAAAGATAAAAGGGAGAGGTATTGTGGATAAGCTGTAGAATGCTTCAAGATTTATCCAGTACAGATTTATATGGAAGCTAGCCAGGTGTCTTTAGTACTTTTACAAAATTGTGTCAAACAGTTTCTTATTTATTTTGGGGTAGCTTAAAACTTGTTTCAGCTTCTATTTTTTGCATTATTGAAACATTCTATCATCAGTGCACTTCACAACAGACTCTCTTTTACAGTCCCTTAATATGTTTTGTAACTAAATGAAATATAGAATTAACTGGACATGAGGGAGATAGTTTATGATTAAGAAGAAGTGCCATTACCAAAATTTGTAATTTTATTTAGTGTAATTATTTATAGAAAATGGACTATTATCTTGGGATTTGGTGTTAACTATTCAAATTATGATATGCACAGAGACTTAAAATTATTGTAAATACAACAAGTTATCTAATTTAGTAGAGTTAATCAGCTATTGCACAAATTCCTTAGTCATTTTTGTAAAAATCATAGCTGGGTATAATAATCGAAGATAGACATTATTTTCATGGTATCCATCCACATTCATTCTGTAACGATGCTGTGGGTTGTAAAAATCCTGACAAAAGGGCTGTATTTTGTGTACTTTCAAGTGACTTTTTGTGGCAAAGTGTTTACTTGTATAATTTAAAAGCAAGTTCAGGTGTAAAAACAAGTACATTTGGATATGTATATGTGAAAATCAATTTTTCACCTTAGGATTTTAGAACTAGGTTCAATGACTATGTATTCTTTCAATGCTCAATGGCTTCTATTTTGTATATATATTTACCTTTACATGCCTGCCTAACAAATCTTAAAAATCAAGGCTATTACAGTGTGTTAGGTTTTAATACTCTGTATAGTCATATGAATTGCTTTCAACTAGTTTTAGCAACAAAAATAGCATTTTACGTTTTCATTTGGTGCCTTCACATCCTCCCAATAATACACTTTTTTTTCTTCTCTACCTCTTCTGAAATGGATCTACTTTTTGCCCACTAAACAATAAAGAACATGTTTTAAGTATTGTTTTCCTTCACCTCAACTTTGGCCCAGACTGTTTTCTCAACTTTGATTATTATTCATGAATTTGTTCATGGGTTTGTTCTTACTTTTGAATTTTCCTCAGCTGTCTTTTGCTATTCTCTTTAATATGTGCCATTAACACATATATGTAAATACTTAAATTCTTCAGAAAAAATAAAATTGTGTTTTCTGCCTACTTTGTTAACAGTCTCTGAATATTCCCTGCCAGACACTGTGGCCATGGTAGGTTTTTAAAAACCGGTGGGAATGAATGACACCTGGTAAGCAGGTGTTCTCTGAGCTGATTTTCCACTGTGCCCATTGTTGATACCCTTGCTTTATGACCTGGTTTCTGACCTCAGATATTGGCTACTTTCTAAGACTCTGCTTAACTTTGGTGCCAGTGTGTCCCTTGATCTGACTTTCCTCTTAAATTTTTGCTATCTTGAACGGGGTTTTGTGGATAACCCCTTTCTTGTTTTTGAACTCTAGTAAATTAAACTCCCCATAGCTAAATGATGACATATCCCTAACCTGGAGCTTTTACCAAGCAGCAGTTCTTTTTGGATCTCTCCTATTGAGGACTCTCTTTTTTCCCCAGGGCAGTCATTATGATTAATTCACAGGATCACAGGAGAGGACCTTTTAAGTCCATTTAGGTACATTCTGGAATGTAAGACTATCCTGTGGAATAGTGGGATAAAATGTGTAAAATGCCCTCACAGGCATACTTCATCTGTGAGGACCTGAGAGCAGAAAAGCTTTGGTAATTAATTTGATAGGTTCTGGGATGGGTACTGGACTTTGGTGGTGATAAGTGAAGAGATTGTTATTTGAATGTGAAGAGAGCTGTATGTGCTTTTCCATCTCTGAGCAGGGAGTGTAAAATCTATTTAGAGATGTAGCCATCAGCCAAAAGTGAGAAGTCTCTTAAAACAAGCAAAAAAGGCACTGCTAATAATTTTGATTCCTGCACCAAGTGTTCTATAAAAGTCGTGCTAAAAATGCCACTCTTAGCAAATTGTATTTCACTATAATTTAAAGCATGTTACAACTTCTTCAAGTGATAAAGCTAGAGAACAAAGTGTTTGAGAATGTTTAATATGGGGATTTACATTTGAGTTAACTAAGCTAAAAAAAAAATCCCCATAGAATTGAAATTATTGATAACTTATGTGATTACCACGGAGGCTTGTTGGGATTCAGCATGAGAATACTACTTCCTAAGATGCAAAGAAATGTACATTATTGACATTAGATAAATCCATATAGAAGATATGTGGATCCTACTGGCCCTTAAATATTTACTTTTTAAAAAGTTACTGTTCTGTCCATTCTTGAGGTGGAGATGGCTGCGGCTATGGTGGTGATGCTGCGAGGGGGTCTCCTGCCCCAGGCGGGCCAGCTGCCTGCCCTCCAGACTGTCTGCTATGGCTCCAAGGCTGTTACCTGCCACCATCGTGTGATGCACTTTCAGCAACAGAAGCTGATTGCTGTGACTGAATATATCCCCCAGACACCAGCCATCAACCCAACATGTCGGCCATCTCCTCCCGGCCCCCAGCAGGAGGCATCACTGGAAGCCCTAGAACTTACCACAGAGGGAGCAAGGTTGCCAGGAGAAGTGACAGCTGATGTACCCTTGGTTATTGCTTTCCAATTTCAGGAGAGGGGCCTCATCAGGCTTCTCCACCGGGAGGTAGCAGCAGTTTTCCAGGACAACCGAATGGTAACTGTCTGCCAGAAGGTGGCTCTGAGCGCAGAGGACAAGCTTCTTATGTGACACCAGCTGCGGAAACGCAAGATCCTGATGAAGGTCTTCCCCAACCAGGTACCGAAGCCCTTCCTGGAGGATTCCAAGTGCCAAAATCTGCTGCCCCTTTTTGTGGGGCACAATGTGCTGCTGGTCAGTGAAGAACCCAGGGTCAAGGAGATGGTCTGGATCTTAAGGACTGTGCCATTCCTGCCGCTGCTAGGTAGCTGCATCAGTGACACCATCCTCAGCAGGCAGGGCATTATCAACTACTCCAACCTCCCCGGCCTGCCCCTGGCACGGGGGGAGCTTGTAGTAGGCCTCATCTGCCTCACTGCCCAGACCCAGTCCCTGCTCCAGCACCAGCCCCTCCAGCTGACCACCCTGTTGAACCAGTACATCAGACAGCAGCGCGAGGAGGATTCTGTTTTGTCAGTCAATGGGAAGCCAGATCATCCTGACCCTGCTCCGGACTCTTACCCAGCTGGTTAGCCAGCCCTGCCCATAAATACACTGTCCGATTGGCTGTGCTGTCCACCATGGGAGATGTGGAAGAACTTGGGGTGGGGGAGTGCGTTTGTCACTGGGCTTTACTAACACTGGACAATATCACTCCCACACTAGGGGAGTGATATTGTCAGGTATAGGGTCACTTGGAGATGCAGAGGATTCCATTTCAAATGGAGGCTGTCAGTCACTGGTTTTATCCTTAGTTTTCCTAACTCGGGACCCAATAGGAGCAAAGGTCCAAGGCAGAGAGGCTGAAAAGATAAGGCTATTACCCCCTGCCTCCTTGGTCACTGCCCCTTGCTGCAAGGGCTTCTTAGCCCACTCCCTTGGGGCACAAACTGCCACTGCCACAGTAGCTCAACCAAGCAGTCGTGCTGAGGATAGCACTCGGTGAGAGCCTGCTGTGTGCCAGGCTTTGTGCTGAGTGCTGTACGTGCGTTAATTCCTTTATTCCTGACCACATTGTACCCATTTCACAGAGAAGGAGCAGAGAAGTAGCTTGCACAAGGTCATGCGGTTAGTAAGTGGCAGAACAGAGACTTAAACCAGGCCCTCTCTGCTCTGAAGACAGCATCCTGAATTTCTACACTAGAGCTTCCTCATCAGGTTACCCAGAAGTGGGTTCCATCCACTATCCAGGTGTGCTCGGATGTTAGTTCTCCACCCTCGGGGTGTGCCATGCTATGGAAAGTTTGGGAGCACTGCTTTATGATAAAACGAAATGCATTCTACTTTCTCTATTTTGTGGTTTACATGGTTGTCCCACCTGTAGACTTATTCTCAGGGACTTCTCTGTCTTCTGACTTTCCTCACTCTCATTTCCCATCCTAGGAAAATCCTCTTCCCCTGTACCTGTTCCCACAAATGGCATCCCGCGCATGCTTGCCCTGTGAAAGGCAGCTGACAGCTGTGCCCACTAGCTAACATTTCTCTGGTGGTTCTGAACAAAAGGGCTGGGGGGAAACTAGGATTCTCGGTTAATGGGGGATTCTGAGGGCTCTAGAGTAGGAGGCCTCATGCAAGTCTCCGTGAATCAGAAATTCCTAACAAAGGAGATTGGATGCTTAACTCAGAAAACAAACAAACAAACAAAAAACAAACAACAACAACAAAGTTACTTGTTTGATACTTGAAACAAGTTATGTCTGAAAGAGCAAATAAGGTATAAACTCTTAATTGGGGGTTATATTTCAGTGTAAGATGTGTATATTAAAGTCTCTTGATGTGTAGACTAACTTTTTATTAATTGACCACTGTCCACAAATCAGAGCAAACAGCTGCTTGCCACAGAAATGAAACTACTGCAAATTCTGGAAATGTCGCCACCTTGAGAAGATTGTTCATTGGAAGATATTAAATTGCAGGTTTACTTACAACACCTGGGAATGTTTCTTCATTGGAAAATACCTAACTTAAAGTAAATTAAATTAATTCATACTCTGTTTAGTTCCAAAAAGTGTAAAGTCAGCATTGATGTAACTTTTCTGTAACTTAGGATAATTCAAGGTTGCCTAAGGAGACAAAGTGCATCCATCGTGGAGCCATCTCTGTGCCGTCTGCTGACGTTTACGAGTAATCACCAGAATCATTCACATTTCTGTAAGCAATATTCTTCTACACTGGAAAAGAAGTGCAGGGTGCACTTAGCCAACTTCTTGGCAGTTGTGAAAAACGTAGTAATCAGAGTAGTTGTCAGGCACCTTAATTGAAGGTCTCCTTGTGACTATTTTGCGTACGCACATTATGCTCAGTGACTATCATTTGGGAGGAAACGTTAAGGCGAATAAGTTAGCATTTAGCCTATTGATTAAAAAGAAAGAGAAGATTATGCGGGAAGTCAGGGACCCTGAATGGAGGGACCGGCTGAAGCCATGGCAGAAGAACATAAATTGTGAAGATTTTATGGCTTCTGTCAGGGTGGATTTCCCTGATAGAAGATCTTGCCAATGAGTCAAAGAAAGAGTTTATCTAATTAACTTGCTGTTTTTGCCCTGTACCTCAGACTGTAGTCAGCACACACACTGCCACAAAGACAGAACAGCATGGAGGAGGTCTTTTTTTTGGTCCCTTTTGATCACCGAAGAGCCTCCATTTACATATTGAGAGATCTGATAAACTCTGATTGTGTATGTGCAGGTAGGTTGGGGTGTTTTGTCATAAATACCACAAAAACATTTATTCTAGTGAGATTCTGAAGGGAATATCATGAAAAGAAACTATCTCTGATGTTTCTCATGCTGATCTGTCAATGGTCTTGAAATTGAGAAAAATGAGATTTGAAAGGAAGCAATGGGAGAAGTTAGAGAAGGCAACGGGGGATGAGGGACAAGGAGAAGATAATATATCAACAAGTCAGAGTGATGGAAGGGCCCTAACAAAAATTTAATGGAAGAGAGTCCAAGAAAAGGAGAAATTAGAGAAACAAAGATAAATGGACAGAAAAGAAATATTTGGTGTCATTAAAAAAATCAGGATTCAAACTTTGTTTTTTCTTTTGTTGATTATTGTGAGCACTTTCTGTGTACCAGACACTGTACTAAATGCTTTGTCTTTTAATTTATTATTTTATTTTCTTGTTACAACCATATGAGGAAGCAGTGAAGCTAATAGTGTTTGTTTATGTATTGTATTATTTGTTTAGAGACAGGGTCTTGCTTTGTTGCCCAAGCTGGAATGCAGTGGTGTGTTTATAACTCTTTGCAGCCTCGACCTCCTGGGCTCAAGTGATCCTCCCACCTAAGCCTCCTGAGTAGTTGGATCTACTAGTGTGTGCCACCATGCCTGGCTGACTTTTAAACTTATTTATCTTTGTATGTTGCCTAGGCTGGTTTGGAACTCCTGAGTTCAAGCAATCCTCCTACCTCAGCCTCCCAAAGTGCTGAAAGTACAGGCATGAGTCACTATGTCAGACGACTAATAATGTTAAATGTGTGAACCCTAGAGCTTGAATATCTGGATTGGAATCCCTGAGGTGCCACTTACTGGCTTTGTGATCTTGGGCGTAGTAAACTTTCCGTATCCCAGTTTCTTCATCTGTAAAATGGTGATAATAATAATAATGGCATATACTTAATAAGGATATGGTGAGGATTAATAGGCTGATGAGGATTAATTGGGTTAATAGGTGCTTGAGGATTAATATACAGAGCATTTAGAGCAGTGCCTACACACGGAAGCACTCAATGAAGGCTGACCACCGTTGTTATTTTATTTTTATTAGTATTCCAGTTTAATAGTTGATGCTTATAAAAGTCAAGGCACATTCTCAGGGGTCTTAATGAGTGTCAAATCCAGATGAATTTGTCTTAAAGATCCATGTTTTTAATTCATATTTTCCGTATCAGTCTGTTCTCATGCTGCTATGAAGAAATACCTGAGACTTGGTAATTTATAAAGAAAAGAGTTTTAATTGACTCACAGTTCTGCATCGCTGGGGAGACCTCAGGAAACTTACAATCATAGTGGAAGGCAGCTTTTCACAGGACGGCAGGAGAGAGAATGAGAGCTAGCAGGGGAAATGCCAGATTCTTATACAACCATCATATCTTGTGAGAACTCACTCACTATTATGAGAACAGCAGGAGACTGCCCCCATGATTCAATTACCTTTCACTGAGTCCCTCCCATGACACATGGGGATTATGGAAACTATAATTCAAGATGAGATTTGGGTGGGGACCCAGTCAAACCATATCATTCTGCCCCGGCCCATCCCAAATCTCATGTGCTCACATTTCAAAGCACAATTATACCTTCCCAACAGTTCCCCAAAGTCTTAACTCATTCTGGCATTAACTCAAAAGTTCAAGTCCAAAGTCTCATCTGAGACAAACAAGTTCCTTCCACCCATGTGCTGGTAAAATCAAACACAGGTTAGTTCCTTCCAAGAGACAATGAGGGTACAGGCACTGGGTAAATACACCTGTTCCAAGTGGGAGAAATTGGCCAAAACAAAAGGGTTACAAGCACCAAGCAAGTCTAAAATCCAACAGGGCAGTAATTTAACTTTAAAGTTCCAAAATGATCTTTGACTCCATGTCTCACATTCAGGGCACACTGATGCAAGAGGTGGGCTTCCATGGCCTTAGGCAGCTCTGTCCCTGTGGTTTTGCAGGGTACATCCCCCCTCCCTGCTTTCATAGCTGGCATTGAGTGTCTGTGGCTTTTCCAGGTGCATAGTGCAAGCTGTTGGTGGATCTACCATTCTGGGGTCTGGAGGACGGTGGCCTTCTTTTCAAAGCTCCACTAGGCAGTGCCCCACTGAGGACTCTGTGTGGGGGCCATGACCCCACATTTCCCTTCTGCACTGCCCTAGCAGAAGTTCTCCATGAGGGCTTTGCCCCTGCAGCAGACTGCTGACTAGATATCTAGGCATTTCCATCATCCTCTGAATCTAGGTGGAGGTCCCCAAACCTCAGTTCTTGTCTACTGTGCACCTGCAGGACCAACACAATGTGGAAACTGCCAAGGCTCTGGGCTGGCATCTTCTGAAGCAATGACATGAGCTATACTGTGTCCCCTTTTAGCCATGGCTGTAGCTGCTAGGATTCAGGGCACCAAGTCCAGAGGCTGCACACAGCAGGGAGACCCTGGACCCTGGGCCTGGCCCAGGAAACCATTTTTCCTTCCAAGGCCTCTGGGTCTGTGATGGGAGGGGCTGCTGCCAAGTTCTCTGAGATGCCCTGGAGACATTTCCCCATTATCTTGGTGATTAGCATTTGACTCCTCATTACTTAAGCAAATTTCTGCAGCCAGCTTGAATTTTTCCCCAGAAAATGGGTTTTTCTTTTCTTCTGCATTGTCAGGCTGTAAATTTTCCAAACTTCTATGCTCTGTCTTCACTTGAATGCTTTGCTTAGAAATTTCTTCTGCCAGGTACCCTAAATCATCTCTCTCAAGTTCAAAGTTCCACAGAACTTTAGGGCGGGGGAAAAAAGCCATCAGTCTCTTTGCTGAAGCATAGCAAGAATGACCTTTACTCCAGTTCCCAACACATTTCCCACCTCCTTCTGAGGCCACCTCAGCCTGGACTTCATTGTCCATATTACTATCAGCATTTTGGTCAAGGCCATTCAACAAGTCTCTAGGAAGTTCCAAACATCCCCACATCTTTCTTCTTCTGAGCCCTCCAAACTCTTCCAGTCTCTGCCTGTTACCCAATTGCAAAGTCACTTTCACCTTTTCGGATATCTTTACAGAATTGCCCTATTCTCTGTGTACCAATTTACTGTATTAGTCCATTGTCATGCTGCTATGAAGAATTACTGAAGACTGTGTGTTTTATAAAGAAAATAGATTTAATTGACTCATAGTTCTGCATGGCTGGGGAGGCTTCAGGAAACTTACAATCGTGGTGGAAGTTCTTCCACCTTCTTCACTGGGTAGCATGAGAGAGAATGACACAGCAGGAGAAATGCCAGATGCTTATAAAACCATCAGAACTTGTGAGAACTCATTCAGCATGGGGGAAACCGCCCCCATGATTCAATTACCTCCCACTGACATATGGGGATTATGGGAACTGTAAGATGAGATTTGGAGGGTTGGGGGCACAGCCGAAACCTATCATACTCTAAGGAGATGGAAGACCTGGTTTGTAATTCTAATGCTAATATTAGCCATCTCTTTTGTAAGTTACTTAAATGCTGATTTGGCTTGAATTCCTTCATAAAGCAGATCCTATGTCAAGGGCTTGAGAAATAGTTCCCATGTATATAGTGTATATCTATGTATACTATCAACTATTGTAACCCAATCCCATAAAGCAGAATATAAGCATAATGAATTGGGAAGAGTGAAATGGGAAGGAAGGCAGCCCATCTAAGGATGCATTTTTAAGAAGATGTCTGGGGGGAGGTGGAGGTCAAAGCTGCTCTATACAATGTGCTTCAGAATCATCCATCCATGGAGATGTGTGCACCTCTCACGGGGAAGATGGAAATATTTATCTACCAGTTACTATCCTCTGTTGATCGAAGGTTGCTCCAGGGTTGTTAATGTTCTCACACTTCCAGGTTTGCTCATGACTCAGCATAGACCAAACTTCATTGGACAGAGAAGCCTGGGGCAGAAAACAAATGAGAGACAGTGCAGCTTGAGGGTCATTTTATCAAGCTGTATCTGAGGCACCACCGATTGCCACATAAATGGCTTGAGTAAAGTGACCGGCCAAGGGGATGTAAGATGGGCTATAAAATGTATTTGGCACACTCCTTTTCATTAGCATACACATAGTTGGATTATGTAAGTTATTTGCTCTACATGTGTTGATGTACATTTTCTGTTATTAGAACTATGTCAATGAGGAGATTAAATGAGATGTGTGTGAGAATGCCCTGAAATATAAATCATGTAGAGTATACTACTGTTCATTTTA